ATACTGAGAGTGAATCAGTTGTGCAGGCAGCACTGGACAAGGTCAGTATTGCTCATTTATTTAAAGAGCTGCAAGAGAGACCCCTAAAAGGTCTAATGTGAGCTTGGATTTAGCAAATACTCTCTGTTCATACAAAGACTGGAAACTTTAAATGAGGATAAGTAGTGAGATGTTTTAAAAAATAAATGCATTAGAAATCTGTTTTCAAATTTGCCAGCACTAGCTCTATCAGACCAGGCAGACTGCCCAGGGGTGAAGGGGTTTTGCAACTGCCCATGGGATTCAGTTAATGATGTTATATGTAGGACTGAAATGCAGTAGACTTTCCCAAACCAGCTTTAGTCTTTGGAGTAGTGGAGAGCTCAAGACCTAAGTATTCTCAAGCAGGTTTGGTGGTCCATGTGGGCTATGTTCTTACTAATACCCAGGAAAGTAATTCAAAACCAGCTCAGTGATGTCTTCAAGAGTGGTGGCTACGTGTTGACTGCCACCTAGACATAACTTCTAAACCACTTAGACAATTGAAAAGAACAGCCAATCCTGTATTTCTTGTCTTCTCTAAACAAGCGTGTGAACTTTTTACAAAGTATTTCCACTTATTCCTCAGACTGAATCAATCATATTCGCTGTTTTTTCCCTCCCTCTGTTTCTTTCTCACACTATGCATCTGTGGTTATGCTCTGGGTGAACAGGTGAATATAAATCACCACCATTGCATAAATATTTCCAGCAATGATCACAGTTTATCTATGGACAATACCTTTAGAAAGCATTTTGCCAACATATGCTATTCTGCCTCAGGAGTGGTACCTTACGTTGCCCCCTATGCAGCGTTGTGTCTGGAAAAATCAGGCAATGGAATCTACGTTCTCATTTTCCAAGATATTTTAGTCCCAAATTTTTACCCAGATGCCTAATTGTCACTAATTTCAGTGAGAGTTACGCTCTCTGTCCACTAATTACTAATATGTCGTTGTGAAACTATGCTAGCTGGCACATGCAGGGATCTTTCTCCCAACTCATGCCCTGTAAAGTGAATCCCAGAGAACTGCTGATCGAGACGTATTTGATGGGATCCCAACTAACTGCTGCAACAGAAAACTTATGCAGGTAGTTTAAACAAGTTACTTAGCCTCTCACCTTCCCCACCTATCTTTAAAATATGTCGTATGGTGAGATGAATCTTCGTGTTGATGTTTCTGGCAACGCATGCCAGAAAGATTTGCTCAGACTAGACTAGCCCTGAGATTGCTGATATTAAGCAAGACGAAACTAAGCTGTTTTGTGCCAAGCATTCATTGTCCTCCTATTGCCTACTTTTTCGCTTCGTCACTGTGCTGATCATGTACATCTACAGATCTAGAGCAGATGACTTTTCCCTGCAGGCTTCACCAAACCTCTCCTGAATCTCTGTTTACTGTTTATGTGGATGGCTGCCCTGCTTTTTATAATTAAGGACACTAACTTGATTTTCTTCTACATCTTGATGTGATTTTAACTTTTTAAGATCATCTCAGACATAGTGAAGCTTTCAGACTACCAGGAAAATGCCTATAATTTCTTATAGGATGGATTGAATAGCTGTCATTTCCAGCTCTTAAAATCACATGGCAACATTAAGATATCAGGTTTAATTGGAAATTCATTGAGACTATACCACACATTATGGTTTTTCTTTTATTTCCTAGTTGTAAAACACTTATTAAGCCATTATTCTGGTGGTTCAAATGTTAAGTGAAGATTTTTAAACTGAATTACATAAAGTTTGGATTCTGTTGTTGATTCATTAGACATTAATACCAATTTATCCCAGCACATACTGTAACAATGTGCCTGTAAAAATATCTATCATATCAAACTGTGCACTGATAGGATTCATTTTATTATTTGTGAGTAATTAAAAGGATGGAAAAACCAGTATGAGTAATAGAAGTATGATTTTAAGCACAATTTTGGTTAAATATTTTCAGCTAAGTCGCACAAGTAATTTAGAGCAAGTAAAATTGCTAAGTGATTAATTTTTAATATTTGTGAAATGCTCTGACATAGAATTGTCACTGACTTGCTTGATGGTAGATAGTCTTTTTTCAGTGAAAACTAGATATGTAACATGGGAAGATATTGAAGGGACAGTTTCCAAAAAACAAAGTTTAGATATTTGTGTTTAGAAAGTACTAGTCCAACATTAAAAAAACAGAGTATCTTAATTCATATTTTCAAATAAAATATGTTTTGCAATATTTGATTGAAGCTACATTTTTGCTGTAGTTTACCTCGGAGGAACCGAAAAATATTGTGAAACTCAAGGTTGATCTTTACTAGAACACCATCTCCAAGGAAAATATTTTGATTAAAATATTTGTTCAACTCCAATATGAAGAGGGGAAATATCATATGTACCTGACAATGCTAATGTAGGGCCATCATTATACTCTTTCCAGGTCAGAAAAGGACGCACTACACTTGTTATTGCTCATCGTTTGTCAACGGTTAGAAATGCGGACCTTATAGCTGCATTTGAAAATGGTGTCATCACAGAACAAGGGACTCATAATGAATTAATGGAACAGAAGGGAATTTACTACAAGCTTGTTAACATGCAGGTAGCTTTTTCACAAACATCTTCATAGCTTTTATAATATTGTGTCCTATTGAGTCAACCAAATTGAATTGCTCCCAAAGGTATCTCCAGCGTTGCCGTGTTTTCCCAGTAAAGAAACTCTAGGGAGAAAAAACTTCCCTAAAGAGTGGTAAACTTCATATTAACAAAACTTCATATTATGTAAAATGCGTAAGCTTGATTCAAAGTTGTTAATTATAGGAGTTCTAAGCAAAAAAAAAAAATCTTTAAAAGTACAACATTAAAAATAAAGTATGTGAGAAGGTACAAATTAAATTTGTGGCAAAAATGAAGTTCTGGAGCTGATTGATTCTCAGACTACTTTTCCAAATTGTATAATTATAAAACAACTCAGGTTGGAGGGGGCCTTGGAGGCTCATCTAGGCCCACCCAAGCTGAACACAGGGCAGACACAGGTCAGAGCAGTTGCTCCTGTCCATGTCCTGCTGAGTTTGGAATACCTCCAAGGACAGAGACTACACTCCCTCCTCAAGTTGCCTGCTCCAGCGTCTCCCACCTCATTCTGAAAACTCAAACTCTTGTATGCAAGTACTTTTGCAAATCACCAGCACCTTAGTGACTTAGCTCCTGAAGTTTGTCATTCAGACATGGTCTATCTTAAATATTTTTATTATCTCTCAAGCTGTCTCCTGAACTTCTCAAGCAGTTTCTCTCAGGCCTTAATTTTGAAGTAGCTGGAAGTCTTGCTCCTATTCTTCATGGCTCCCTCCTCATGTTGAAAGTCCCTCTTGTTGACTTTCTGATTCTCTTTTACTTTAAGACTCTTTTATATAATTTTTGTATTTTAAAAAGTCTTTCTGGTGGGTTTGTTCAGCTGACTTATTTAACCTTCCTGTATGTTTTCAGAACAGTTTAAGTTGACAAAAAAATGAGAAAAAAAAAATCTCTGTTGCTAAAACTTCTCCCTCTTGTAAGTGTTATTGTATTGGCAAGTTTCTCACTGAGTATAGAGGGGACTTAATGGAATGTCAATACTTGCTTGGGATCTGTAATATTGCTTAGTTCTTATCAGCCTTCCATTTATTTAACAGAATATGTTGCTGTTAGAGTTGACCATCATTTGAAAGTACAGGGTAATATGTCTGTAAATGATTTTTAGCATCATACTGTTTCATTTCAGGCATCAGGAACTGAGGATGGGCTACAGGAAGACAGCAATGGACCAGTTGTCTCAGAGGAGGCACAGAAGGGATCTATGTTGACTGGACAGAAAAGACAATCCACTAAGAAAAGCATAAAAAGGTTCAGAATACAGAAAGATGAATGTGATGTAGAAGCTGCTCAGCTTGTGAGTGTCTCTGTATTCTTACCTGCGCCTGTTTTCCATAACTAACAGGATAAGAAAGAAACGTGATCCCACTCAAAAAGGAGTAACTTTTTAACCAAAAGTGTGAAGGCAGCCTATGTGTCTAGTTAAAGACTCATAAATTGAAAAAATCACACAGGAGTTCTATGGAAACAGTCTTTTCCCCTGAATCTAAAATTATTTTTTTGTTGTGATACTTGAAATAGTTTATTTGAGTAATATTATGAAACAAAATTACTTAGTATGGGAAGAGCTTAAATAGCAAGTTAATTCATTTAATTATAGAACAAAACCAAACCCAGGTAATCAGTCATATAACTCAAATAACACACACTGAATAGGAAATAATTACTATTTTTGCCTAATTGACTTGTTACCTCTTATCTAAAATGTCTGTGTCAGCAAATAAATCATTGAAAATTAAGACATAATTATCAAGCTGCCTAATGACCCAAACCTGCAAGAGATCATATTCAGCAATGAGTAAAGAGCAATTCTTTTAACATTCAATGCCATCAAATGCAAAAAGTGGTTTAAATTTGCAATTTCTGTTTCTGGGTAGTCCCACAAAGCGTAAGTGGCATTTGTGACTAATCCTTTCAGGGAAAGGCTCAAATTGTTATTGTTGGAAGAAATAAGAGCTTATATAGCATCCACTGATCTTTTCCTTCTTCTTTTATGGTATTACTATTGGATGTGGTGTAACAGTAAGAATTTCTGCAGTTAATTAATACATTTTTTTAAAGATCAGTGAGTTTGGGGTTTCTTAACATAGAATATGGGATAAGGAGCATATTACAAAGAATATACACATCCCTCATTTCCCTCCATTAATGTACTATATTTATCCTGATGGAATCCTTTCATTTTAGGATAAAAGCATGCCTCCAGTTTCATTTTTTAAAATTATGGAGTTGAATAAAACTGAATGGCCATACTTTGTTATTGGAACTCTATGCGCAATTATCAACGGGGCCTTGCAACCCATATTTTCAGTCATCATTTCAGATGTTATAGGGGTGAGTATAAAACAAAGAAGTAAAAATCTTCATTGTATGCTTTACCTGTTGTCATTATTTCCAGTAAATAGCACTTTTTTTTGGTTTGCACTGCAAAAGTAAGAAACAGGCAAAGGTCCTCGCTATGGAGAGTGCAAAATATCTGCTCAATGTCTCACAGAGCAGGGATACGAATTGCACATCCTCAAGCAGATTACCTCTCCGACGCTGGATGAGAAGAGGTTCTTCTGTGACCTCTCCGAATCTGCTTCATCCTTACTCCTTTAGAGAAGGCAGTATGTGAGCCTGAGCAGCACAGGCCTGAAAGGTGACCCACACACTGTCTCGCCCACGTGTGCTCAGCCATAGCCTTTCAGAGGATCTGGTGTGACATAACACAATGCAAGAGCAACACAACGAAAGTGACATGAGATAATGCTTTTGAATAGACTTTTCATTGTAGAGAGACATTCTATAAACCTGAATTTATGGTGTTAGAAAATGAAGTTCCATTGTCAAGCAAGAGATACTTCGTGTGTACTGTTGGGAATTCTCTAACATTTTCTGTCAGAATACAGTATTTTGTTGGAAAGGTGTTAATATTGATACAGCACAGGATGTTATTATGGTTTTGACAGTGCAGGAGAGAGACAAACTGAGTGTGAGAGTACAAGTACATGTGTTCATGTGCGCTTATGTACCCACATGCCATATGGCACTCATATGCCATACCAAGAAAGAATATATGGCTGTGTTGCTCGCACGAGTTGTAGAAGACATTTTAGAAACAAATACAGCCCTGGAAGTTGAACCTCAGGTTCATCCTTTGACTGTTTTGGGACAAGGTGCTCAGTCTTGTCTTCTAGTGTTTTTCACAGTTTCACAATAAAACAAGAAAAAGAAAAAATCAAAACCACAGCAACATCTGCATTTACTGGAGCACTTTTTACAGACAGTCAAGCTGTAGTATATAACATAAAAGATATTGAAATAGCCTGAAATTTTTTTGTACTCATACATGAGGTGATACCTTCCAAAGAACTGTTTGGGAAAAGAGTGTTATGTTGGTGTTATACTTCAGCTTTTAATGCAAAGAGCAACATCCCTGAGGGAAGGGGAGGCTGCTATGTGGTTGCAATCTTTCAGCAGTTGTCCCCAAATCAGTCCAATATGGAAAAGAATCTGACAAAGGGCAGAATATATATAGGGAAAAAACAGAATTAAGGTCCTTCCTTTCTAAAACATTAATTTACTATAAAAACTTTTTAAAATATTTGCAGGTGTGATAGGATTTATAACAAATCTCTATTAGGAAATTTAAATAATTGCACTGTAAATTTTATTGCTATGGACCAAGGTATAAAATAAGCTAAACTGGAGTCACTCTGAGCAAACAATTGATAAATTTTTACTAAGGCAAATTAAATTTCGCTTAACAAATTAAAAGCACATAATGACAGTTACTCAACATCCAAAATATGCAAAGACAATCCAATAACAAACAATAGACAACATCCTCAAAGATCTATTTAAAAGACTTAGAGACCTTGAAGACCTCAAACCTTGAAGATACTAAATCTTTAATATTAATTTATCCACTGTTGAGACAAATAAGTGCATGGAAGCTTTAAATTATCTCCATAACAAAGCAAACGCTCCATACAACATAAATAATTTTGGGGTTTGGTTGGGTTTTAATTGTTAACATATAGAAAACAAACAGCAGAAGTCTGTTTATCGCTGAGTCTTAGCCTAAAAACTAACACAACTCTAAAATATAACACAACATATTAAGAACAATTTCCATATTTCTTTCTCACTAAATAGTCATTCTTTAACATGCAATAATCTTCAGCCAGTGACTCCAGAAATGCTATTTAGAGTATTAAGACAGGCCTCAGCATTTTGCAGATGTAAGTTGCAATAATAATTTACTGATGTAGGTTTTTCACTGACATGTGTTACTGATTATATCTTGCCAAAATACCGATGAAGTCTTCATTCACAAGACCTAAATTCACTTTGGATTTGTAACTTCAAAGAAAAGAAAAAATCTTAGTTCAACAAGAAATGGACTTATTACCACTTTAAGTGTCTGTAATGCCTATAGCATGTATGTAACAATAGCAGAGGAAATTATTGCACTGTAACTGAAGTAAATTAATTTTCCAAACTTTCTCTTATAGATGTTTGTAGAAAAAGGAGAGACTGCCATCAGGGAAACAAACAGCATGTATGCACTGATGTTCTTAGGTTTTGGAATAATGTCTTTCGTCACTTTTTTTCTTCAGGTAAGTTTTTGTTACTGCAATTGTTTGTGGTATTTGAGGCACTGTATCTCAACTCTGCTAAGTTCTCAGCACCTTAGTGTTAAGCAGTACACCAGAAAAACAATGATGAACTTTCACTATCAGATGGGTTCAAAATACAGTAAGATGTTTCAAAAGTTCTCTGTGCTATAAGCTGACCTCCATCTCCCAGCAAAGGAAAGTCTGGGTGTCAGGCCCACTCTACAGCACAGCCTGGGTAGGAAAACCCAACAGTGACAGTGCTGATAGTAACGTTGGCAGCACAGCTTTAGATCAGGTTTTGAATCTTCTGTCTCGAGTACATGGTTGCCTCAGCACCCGCTCTGAGCTCTGTTCAACACTCCTGTCAGCATCTGATCTGATTGCACTGAAATGAGTCTGCATGTACCTACACAAGCTCAACCCCCTGAGAAAACATACCAAAAGTAACTGAGAAAGGCCACATCATATGCTTAAGATTACATATAATTTAAGATTATTCACAGTTACATACCATGAAAGTTAAATAATATTTCAAATCACCTCTTCAGTTTATGGGATGTATCTCTCAGTTTGCACAGGATCAAATAGTTTTAATCACATTTTCTGAGATAGAGTCTAAATTCCCATGTACACATAATCATTCACACGGGCATGTGTACTTGCCAGTGCATGAAGTTACATATACTATGGGAAAACTGCCAAGTTCATATATAAGTCTGTTCACGCATCTCATTTACATGCACAAATCCCTTTAGTTATTTTGCAGCTACTTGTGTTGGCCTTCCCCAGTCATTGATAGGTTTCTGAACACCACCATGCTGCTTCTGCCTGATGCCCTGAGACAACAGGGTGCCATTTCTGAAATGACCTCCAGCCCTCGCCCTCTCTTCAGGCAGAACCAGCCTCAAAATTCCTACTTCTTTGATGCCCTTGGAAAAGAAAAGAAATTGGTGGTACAGTTGTTACGGATATTTCTCCATGCCAATGTCTGTTTCCCTCTTCTCATTCCTGCATGGTCTGACCCTGCATGGCCCTGGCGTAGGAGCGACAGCTTTGCCGCTATGGCTTGGTGCACACTGAGTTGTGTGGTAGTCACTGAGTGTCTGAGCAGGTTCAGAGGCTTCTTCTAGAAAATAACAAGTAGCACTCCAGTTTTTCAATTGGGAGCTCTTTGAGAGAGAGAGGAAAATCTCTGGTATTTGTACAGTGCCTAAAATGAGCACCAAGCCTGTTACTTTGAAATGACCAGCTCCTGTTTGAAATCAGGTATTGCTAAAAAAAAAATAATCCTCTAATTAAAACACTGTTTGGTGGGGCCTGAAGACTATTACACGGTATACATTTTTTTCTTAAACAGCAATGTCTCGTTCTTTGCTCTACCCTTATAGGTGCTAAATTTAGCTTTTAAAAAATTTAATTACCTCAGTTACAGATAGAATTTTTTTTACTTATTGTTTTTAATATTACATACAGATAGTCACTTAAGTATTTACCTGAAAAAGACAAAAACTGTAATTAGGTAATAAAAAAAAGTCTTTTTTTTTTTTTTTTCTCAAACAGGGTTTCACATTTGGCAAAGCTGGAGAAATCCTTACAATGCGGCTTCGATCAATGGCATTTAGAGCAATCCTGAGACAGGTGAAAGCTTTATGTATTTAGCTTTCTGGAGCTTTAGAAATGTTTGTTTGTTTGCATGTAATAAATTGTGTTTGTATTTATTTAATAGTCACGCTGCAATCATGTCCATAGAGGTACCACACTGATTTCTTTAGCTCAGTTTAGAAACTGATTGAACTAAATCTTCATAACAGGTCCAGGCAGATATTTTAAATGGTTTTAAACTCTTTTATTGATACAACTATAGATCAAGTGTAAGAAAGCTCAAAGGTAGCAGTAGGGTTTATTTAGCTTGTTTAATAAAAGCAAAGCACCTTTGGACTGAGGACCAGAGAAGGTAGGCTGTACTTGAAGAGACTGAATCTGGAATTCAGATCAGCCGTCATGGTCAGCTAACTCCATGTAGGCTGGGATCCACATATACTTACTAGCAAGGGTTATAGGACCTGGCTGTCTGGCTAGCTGCGCTCACCAAACTATTGGCTGCTCCGAGGGAGCAAGCACAGAGCCAGAGACAGCCATGGTGGGGGTCAGGGTAGGACCAAGGCTCTGCTGCCAGTAGAAGCACCTTCAGCAGCAGAGTGAAAACCTTTTAAAATGATCTGCCTGAAATCCAAGCACCACAGTCTCTAGTTGTTATGCGATGAGGAGGGAGGCAAGGATCCTGACTGTGTGCATAACCAGCCTTACTGCCACCACTGGGAGGTTGGCATCAGCTGCTGCCTGGAGCTGGTGCAGTGGTGAGCTGCTCGGCATCCCTGCTCCGCTGTGGGGGGGTGTAATGTACCAGTGCAAACTTGTAAGCCCCACCTGGGAGGCCTGCAGGCTTGCCAGCATTTCCAGTTTGTGTTTCAGCACAGCTAGAACTAACTCAGATACTTTTGTCCCCCTTTTACTGCCACTCCTACTTTTAGCAGTTGATTTCCTATGAAGTTTGGGGTTTTTTAATTCATCAAGTATTTCAAACAAATGTTGGTATTGTTTCTTATTATCAATCCACAGCATAAATTCAATCCTTCCAGCATAAATTCAGTCCTTCCTTGAATTTCTATTAAATTTTACTCCCAGCTGACCCAGCTGTAAGCATGCGTGTGGTCCCTGAGGTAGTAGAAAGCAGAGCAATGTGAGCCTAGACACATCAACCCCTTGCCTTTCACTCACTACAGACAGTGGTCTATCCCACCCACGCTAGGCTAGTACATCGATCAGCAAGTCTGGGACCAAAGAGGAGGTTTCCAAACAGGTACAACCCCACCACCTCTTCAGCCCATGAGTGAAGTTTTCCTGGTCTCCACAGAGGGTTGTTCTCTACTTGAGAAGTTCCCAGAGCCAACCTGAGCCTCATCAGCTTCCCTTTTGTTAAACCCTTTTGCTGGGGGCCCAGATGCCCCTTCTTTCTGGTTTATATGGGAAGTGATCATAGGTCACGTCCTTGGAAGTTAAGTCCTGTGAGATTTTTTTGACTAGCCTGGGAGGAAAGTGAGGTCTCTAAGACGACGCTGAATCAAAACAGATCTCTAGAGGAAGGGCTTGAAGACCCTAAAGGTAACAGAGAGGTTTTCATGGTCTGAACAGTCAAGTAATGTCATTATATTCACTTTTCTCATTCTGATGTGAAAACAGTGTCCACCTATTGACATCATGTTCAAGTATCAGGCCTTGCAGTGGTGGGACCTGGGAGGGTTTTGTGTATTAGCACCAACACATGTGGTGTGTTCTCCATATCATCTAATGTCAAAGCAGCCATCTGGTTACATAAGCCTACAGCCAAACTGAAACTCTTTGGTTTACATCTTGTTTTCTTACTGTATTTAAGAATATTGTACCTTACTGCACTTAAAAACAATCCCTCACCCTCAGTAAACCCCAAGAAATCAAAATGTAATGTGTTTGTTGATGACTAAAGGTTATGCATGTATGTACTAACGGCAGGAAATATAAAAGCTCTTACGAACAGTTTACACAAAAGTACCATACTGTTGCTAAGAATTATGTATGCATGAAGTAATACAAATACTTAGACTGTTTCATTATAATGATCTTATGGTTTTGATATTAAAAAAAATAGAGTGAATATTTTATTTTTACTTCCTGGGTTTAAATAAGACAAATGTTTTGCATTTAATCCAGACATTTTAATTTTCAAGTAAGTGTTTTACAGTCACTGATCCCTCTGGCCAATTAATCTGAATTGCTAATGAGATACAAAAGTATATGACGGGCAACATTTTTTTCCCTGAACATAGTGTCTTCCAGCTGAAGAACAGACAGTCTTCAGTAATTTCCCAGCACTGCATATCATTTTACGTACGTCTTCTCAGACACCACAGAAATTTTTCAGCAACACTCAGACTTTTGAAACATTTCACAGCAGACTTACAGTTTCCACAATACTTGTAACTGGTAGAGAATTAAGATGCATTTTTAGATTTGTAACAGGAGAAAGTACGTTGTTTAGTTAGTAGTCTTTGCAGATGCGTGTTACATCCAAGTAATTGTCCCTAAATGGCAGATTCCTTGATATTGCTATTTAGTGAGCACCTGATTATCAAAAACATGTTAAATTCACAAGAAAAATTTCTTGTAAAGCTGTTTTTAATACGAAATAATGTGTTTGTGCTATTGCAAAAAGGATATACAGACTGATAACACAATTTAGATTTGAGTTTTGTGTTCCCATGTGTCTATTAAAGTTTTATGTCTGTTGCATTTGTGATTACATGTAAAGAACACCATCTGCGTCATTCCATTGCAACCCGAATTGATTAAGTTTTCTTATGTAGCATAATTAGGTGACGTGCAGACTAACATTTTTAAGAGTGTAATAACTCTATTTCATGTTGTAGGAGATTGGCTGGTTCGATGATCCCAAAAATAGCACAGGAGCATTAATTGCAAGACTTGCTAATGATGCCTCACAAGTGAAAGGAGTAAGTACCAAGCACTGGTATTTTCCATATCTAGTTTAGCATGGAGTAAGTTAGAGGCTGGATTCAACAGGCAGAAATCCTGCACACACACTTATCGGTAAGCTGTTATGATTTATTAAATAATATAACATTATTTATTAAGTAATATTTATTTTGGTGTCACGCAAAAATTTAATATCGTAATAGTAGGTAAGATACATATTTTTATACATATACTTACTTTTATACTGTTTTCAGTTCATACTAATGTTCAGTCCTGTTATGACTAGTATAAATGAGTCATCCAAGGAGTCTGTTTATTTATTTATCCAGCTTGCTTAGATGTCTAGACAGCATTGCATTTCCATGCTAAATGTTACAAACATTAACAAAATGTGTAAGCATATGCCTCAAAATGAGGATTGCTCTTGCTGCAGCCCTGTGTTTGTTGACATGCTTGAAGTTAAAAGTGGTCAGAGAGAAAAAAATCATGACACGTTTCGGGAGACCTGGCAAGTTTGAAGTCATGATTGTACATATAAAAAAATAGATTTATGAAATGTCATTGTGTGTTTTGGGCAAAACCTGAAAACAAGGACTACAACTCCGAGTGAATAGTTGGAAACAGAGAAGGAAGACTAGATAAGATACAGAAGACTTCAGGAAATTATCTGTACAATAGAACGTTTTTTCAAAAGATAAAGCATCCAGTTCTGCCAAATATTTAGACCAAATTAAGCACTTTCAGATGTCCTCTGGTGAATATATCTCAGTTGTCTGGGTAACAAATATTTCCTGTCTAGTTTTCAACTAAAACACAGTAATTTACAGCAGTTTCATTCTTTTTGCAGGCTACAGGTTCCAGACTGGCGCTAATTGCCCAAAATATAGCTAATCTTGGGACTGGGATTGTTTTGTCATTGATCCATGGCTGGCAGCTGACTCTTCTGCTTCTAGCCATTGTCCCAATTATTGCTGTAACAGGAATGATTCAAATGAAGATGCTTGCTGGACAAGCAAAAAAAGATAAGAAGAATCTGGAAATCGCAGGAAAGGTGGGCTCACTGACATTTTTATCTGTTTTTATGTTCTACTACACAGTGTTGCTTAGTAGGGACATGGATCAAGATGGATCAAGAATATACTCCTCAAAGAAGAAAAAGTCTGTGTTGTTGTATTGTTTTGACAAAATGGTGGTAGAGCAAATATGAAGCTGAAAATTGGAAACATCAGTTATTAGTATATGTACTCAAATAATTTGTAGCATTCAGAGCACAGTAAGCATTTTACAGGTCCTGGGTTCCTCACGCCTGCCCTGAGTCTGCATTCGGGTTCCCTATTCTTTCCCAGCCCTCTGCTTTTTTTCCTTTTCTTCATTTTTTTCCAGCTTGTTTCCTTTCAGAGCACCTCTCTTCTACCTGTCACATATCTTGTCTTTCTCTCACCTTGCAGCTGTCTCTGGGCTTAGTGTAACGAGGCACTGTATAGATACCCTCAGCACCAAGGATGCACAAACACCCCATGGTGATGGTGCAGCTGACCATGCCTTGTGATTCCTTGCTCAGCTTCTCATTCATTCCCCTCCCTGCTGAGAAGGGAAGCAGGAGCCTAGGAATCTGCTTCAAAGGAAAACGCAAGTGTGGCAGCAAAGAGGGAGGGTGTTACTTCATTTCATAACTTTGAGAACTGTTTTCTCACATCCCAAGACATGTTGTCTCAGGACAGAGGGTGCTTTGTGGGGACTGGGTTTTTGATGCACCCCAGGCAGCACAATACCTGGGTCATCTTCTCTGCTGCCCTTTCCCTCCCTTCCATTACACCATGGTCAGTTGTGCCGAGGAGTCTGGTCACAGCAAATCTTATTCTCTCTTTCCATGATTTATACAAGGAAAGTCTCAGAGGCATTTCTGTGCCTCCAAGCTGATCAGAAAATGGGTGTGCGTGTTTACCCCTAGCTCTTTTCACACTAAAATAAAAAGAAAGGAAATGCCTCTTGGTTTTGCCTGACAGGCATTTTGGTGTAAATCTACATAGCAATGATTCACGGTCAGGTCAAATCACAAGACATCCGCAAAACATTGTCCCCTGACACAAGTAAATGAGTATTCTCTAGTAATATTTTTTTCCCAGTAAAAATGTAACAAATAGTCAGGAGAATTCAAGGGAATGAACTCATCTTCTACTTATCCTTAATTCTACAACAGCTTTCAGCTGAGGCTTACAATGCAACTTGAATTTAGCAACCAGCCTCACAATGCTCTTTTGAAATCTGGTGCAATCGTTGTACAAATTGTCGTCTATTTCCCGTGTCCCTGTCCAGATTATACAATGATTGCACCGGCTACTTCTCAGCCTCGGTTAATAACAGTGGTTGGGAAAAGGCAAGAGAGGGTAACACAAGAATCAGAAGTGAAACTTGGAAACCTCTGCGAGGCCACAAGATGGCTGTTAGACAAACAAAGAAACAGCCCAAACTCATCTTGTTTCTCCTAAGAAGAGCAAATTCATTAAAGGTTGTTAGTGAAACAACTGTAAAGAGTCTCAGCCTCAAAGCATATTTAAACCAGCTGTGCAGAGCAAAAATTCACTTTACCTGTCTGTAAATACAGTAATACAGACCTGTCTTATCAGTAATACAGACACAAGGAAAACATGATGTTTGTCTTTGTAGGGGAGACAGATAATATTTACATGCTGTTATGTTAGGTTTTCCATGTTACTTAATCATTTCAGTATCTTATCTCCCATGTTACTTAATCTGTTGTGTTTCTTATTTGTAGATTGTCTCAGAACTTATTCTACTTATTATGTAGAGGTAATGCTGTAGAAAGAAGAGTCTGCCAAATGCGTGGGTATGGTTGTGTATTCAGAGGTTAGCTCTCATACGTTTAGAGCTGCTAGGCTTTTCCTTTTTCTTACCGAGTTGGAGGCTGAGAGTCATGTTTGCTTCCAAGCTGTTTTCGACGCTTAAAGTAAAGGCTGATGATTCACAAACCCAGAGGTGATTTGTTACACATTAAAATAAGAAGTTAAAAGAGATTTATTTTTAAAAGAATGCATGTGTTGAAAAGAAGAAACCTGTTCCTCTTTACATGACAGGGTAATCAAGAAAAAATTCAAAATACTGTCACTAATTATTCACAAAGTTTTGCCAAACAGGTGACTTTGCTGAGTGCATTGTTACACTCTGAAATATTTTGAAGTTATCTCATAGTCAGGTTGTTTACAGCTGAATATCATTATCTCATGCCAGCTTCTTTGGAGACTGTTTGTAAGAACAGTTACATGATTGTTGGGCAATGACCGAATATTTGGTACCGGCAGACTGTTAATCAAAACAATTTTTTGCAGATCCCCAGTTTCTGGCAAAATTTAAAACATATATTTCTATAGTAATTCAGCAAAATGTTCCATTCTCAACATATCAAGCAAACCTGAAAGAAAACAAGCCCCAGTTATCTATATTTAGCTCTAGGTAAACATCTGCTCTTCTTTTTAAAAGACGGGTTCTTCCTGGAAAAACTGCTTGTGGAGAAATGCCATCTTCACACATGAGAGATAAAAATAAACTACTCTCATTGAAAGGCAGTGCACAAACAAAATAGCTAAAAGAGAGCAAATGTATTTCGTGCCTTCCTTATGAGCCGCAGAATTCGTCGTACACCTAACGAAGTCAATGAGCTCCCGATACAATCCAGGAGCACACGGTTCTAGGTGGTACAAACACTACCGAGGCTTCTGTGAAGGCAGTGGGGTTCCACAGTGTACAAATCTTACATGGGTGACAATATGTGAGAAAGAATTGCTCTTGAGTCCCAGGTCCTAGTGGACTAGACAGTGGATAATTTTTTATTTTCTTTTCCCATAAAAAAAGAGTACCTTGGAACTAAATTATGAGCTAGAATGAGTATAGCGCTCCATGAATGTACTTTACAAAATTGCTTTCCAAGATGTGCTTTACATTTTGAGTTTTGTTTTGCTGGATTCTTGACCAAGACTAAATCAACAGTTGTTATTAAAAGATTTGTTGATGTTATTAATTAACTACAAATAAATTCCCTTAATATTTGAGGAGCATTAAGAAAATTAAGGCATGAGCTTCCACTAGTTTTCAGTCAAGATTGGGTACCTAGCATCATTAATTGTTTTGGACAACTACTACTATTTTTTTCTTCTATGGCAAAACACAAAGGTTTTCGAAGATACAAAATTAAGAGGATTCAGATGCCAAGCTGCCATATGGGACAGGAAATATTTGTCTCTACATTTTTAGGAACGGCCAGTGGTTTTGAGTTTCTCCTTTAAGAGTCTTAAATGGCATGGGGTGTTGAGTTTCTCCTTTAGAAGTGCTGGAAGACTCCTGATTTTTCCAACAATGCCCAGAATGCACCAAGGAAAGATCTTTTCTTTATGGGTGAGCTCAAAATCACTAGCTGCTTTTGAAATGTGACCATATGTTTACCCTGCAGTTCCAAGTGCACTTGCAGGTGATGTAGGTTTGCTTGGTCTTTCATGACTGGGCTCCCACAGCGATGACAGCCGCACGGCATCATCCTCATGATGGCCCATGGGAAAATATAATCCCATTGCTGGCCCATGCTAAAATGTTTGTTGTCTCAACTTCACTGCTATAATCCATGATAACTGGATATATTTAACAGCAGTGTATCTACAAATGTTGCAACCACACTTTCAACAGCATTTTAGACATAATTCTATTGCAGTTATTCTATTTATTGGTTTCAAAATTCCCATATAATCTTGTTTTTCTGCTGATGAATCTGCTCTCCAATACAGATTGCTTCAGAAGCCATAGAAAATATTCGAACCGTTGTTACTTTGACTCAGGAAAGAAAATTTGAGCTTATGTATGGACAAAGTTTGCAAGCATCATCTAGGTAAAAGAATGCTTCTTAAAAAAATAAAGTTATTGAAATATTCCTTTTTAAAATGAATGTAAATAAACACCAATAAACTGAATCACGATTTATTTCTGTCAGTGCATCATAAAACCTTTCATTCCAAACTCAGCTTTAACATAAAAAATATAGATTATCTTTCCCTTCAAGCTTATGTTCTTGACAATTTAGATAATGTTCTAAATTACTTTTTTTTTTTTTTCAAAGTCTCCATGATGTTGTCATTCACTGCTGTAATTCTGGAAATGGAAGCTTTTATTAATTCTTATAATCACAAGCCCTTTCTTCTGAGGGCATCTATTGTTTAACAAACCAAAAGTCAATTTTTACCTGCATGTTTGTGTAATATTCTTATAAAAATCAGTGGGATTTTCCCAAGGAAGGAACCAGAAGGGTGGACCTGCATAGAAGCTTCTGAATTTGTACACTCTGCTATTTTGTCGAAGTACTATTGCAGAGCATGTGAAACCTCAGGAATGGTCACTTGCTTTAGTTCAATGTAAGGTAAAGCACAAAGATTTGTTCTATTGAAGTAATTTCTGTTTTGTAGAAATCCTAAAGTTCTCAATTATTTTCCTCATGTGTCAGTTAGTTGACACTTGGAATTGCAACTGCATTATAATTTTGAAAAAAAGTTTTAATGAATGTACAAGGTGAAGACAATATGAATTGTACGTGCTCAAAAATATTTAGAGTTAGAGAAATTTCTTGTCCTGTCCCAACATTTTCATCGGTTTTTGCAGAGAGGAAGTTGAAGCATACAGGAATTATGATGTCTTAGGTCAGGATCTTACAAAGAGCTGGAAATTATTTTACGTTAAAATACTAAGGATTTGTGGATTCCTTTGAATTATAGGATACACTTCACATTCTTCATTGCCACAAGTGGATGTAAAATATGATCATGATTATATGTTTTTTTCTGTTACAGGAATTCGGTAAAGAGAGCGCATATCTTTGGATTTACTTTTGCCTTTACACAAGCTATTATGTACTTTACTTATGCTGGGTGTTTTAGGTTTGGTGCCTACTTAGTGAGAAATGGACATATGCAGTTTAAAGATGTGCTTTTGTAAGTATCTCTTTCTTAGGCTCTTTTTTGTCTATGTGGGAGAATAGTTTGATTTTTCTATACATATCATGAAGTCATGGAGTATAGAGCCAAAAAAAAATCAGTAAAAACTTCTGTCTTCCATTCTTCACCCTTACATTCCCCTTCCTTTCTTACACTATTACAAATCCAAAATAAGTGATACTTTTAGGCTGTGCTTAGCTGCCTACATACAATTGCCCTTATAATCATTTTGCCCAGGGTAAAAGGAAGGCAATGCAAAGCCATTCCTTGTTTTCACGGCCAACAAAGTTCCTTTAACAACAGAACCACGTGGCTTAGCTGTAGGGAGCGTAGGCAGACAAGATTAAAATGTAAGTGGAGCAAGTAACGAGTGAAACAGGTGAGAAAATTATGAGCCCTGGGACAAGAGAGGTGGAGAGCAGGAGAAATGTTCAGCAAACACCCAATCTGGAAAAAGCCCAGCCAACGCTGAAAAAGCTTCTCTAAGTGTTTCCAGTGGATTGTTCCCACCAACCAGCACCTTCCCAACATCCTCTTTCCTCCCTCCCCATCTCCAGCATCTAACCAAGTCTTTCACTTTCCTCCCTGTCCACATATGTCAGTAGCCACCTGGTCTCCCATGCACGCCCCATGCATGCTTTCAGCACTTGCCACACTTGCTTGGCAAAAAATGCTACTGAAACTAAAGCTGCTTCTTACTCTGATTACACCAACGCCTTCTCAAATAGCAGCATTAGCCTGTCTTCCCCAACACATTCAAGTTAATTCCTTCTCCTCGCTTATCTCCCCTCCTACTGCCCTTTGCTCAGCACAGATTTCATGCCTCTTTCTCATCTCCCATTTGCCTCTCGCCTTTTTCTCCTGAACTCAGGGATTTGATTGTGCCTGGAAGACTGGACCACTCAAAGGAGATGTGGAATAGCAAATTTCTCCATAGTCCTCAGACTGTTCCACAACTAATACCTTCAATTTTTTAGGTGAAGAAACTGAGCTGCAGGAAACCATATATCCTACCACATCTCATGCATTAAGAACAGAAGCAGAAATCAACACATCTATTTCTAATGAATCCACAGAAGTGGGCAAGGAGGGGAAGCTCAGAATGCTACTCTACTCCCCACAAACGAATTAGGGATTTTCTCAATAAGGAAAAAATTCACAGATTTTGCAGTAGACAGCTCTTACCCTACCTCAGCCTTATTAACGAGTATTTGTCTGAAGCTCCTAATCTGCCCACAAAAGCTTTTCTTGCCTTTGCCACACCAATATCAAAATATTTTACTCATTTTTGTCTTTACAGAGTGTTTTCAGCTATTGTGTTTGGTGCAATGGCATTAGGACAAAGCACTTCTTTCACTCCAGACTATGCCAAAGCCAAGATGTCAGCTGCCCACTTGTTCATGCTGTTTGAAAGAGTACCGTCCATAGACAGCTACAGTGAGGAAGGAAAGAAGCCTGTAAGTAATCACAGTGTTGTGCACAGCATTGCATACTCTAATTGATTTCAAGCCTGTTTTCTCCCACCCACATCACAGCTGCTGAGACAAGTACTGTGTGAGCCCATTCACATCTCACTCATCCAACCAAATTGGGCTTAAGCTTTGTTTTCTGTCTTCTCATGCCAAAACATCACCAGTCTCTTGGCGAAAACATCTTTCAGAGCCAGGGGAAACAGGGTTAATGCAGCACAGGTTATTTTTCAAGACTTTCTTGCATGCAGCTACCTGAGCATAGATCTTAAATGCATAACTACATCTTTAATGTTTAACCAGAAATTTTTGAAGGACAACTTAGTTGTGAGTTGTCCATAATAGATTGTCACACTCTTTAGTAACAACAAGGTATATGAACATATGGGTGCATGTGGCCTGTCATATAACAAAGAGGACAGAATGTTCCAGAAAACAATCACATATATATTGCAAACCTTCTGTTTATTATATATATATGTGTGTACATACATGTATATATATATATACACACACACATAATAAAGGAAAACAGTTGTGAGGTTTGATGAAGTATCATACAGTTGATTGGTTAGGTTGATTGGTCATTTGCATATGTCTATGTTTACATTTTATATATATATTCATTCAGATGAACCATACTTCTTGTGTAGGCATATATCTGTACTACATATATCATATTACATATTACATTTCTAAAATGTAATATGATAGAAAATATCTTTAAGTAGAAGGATTGATTCTGTGCACAGACCAAAAATACTAGAATATTTTCAGTATCTTTAAGGACAGAAATGAAAAAAAAATCAGCAAAGAACACATCAAGAATCTGAACAAGGTCCTCGCAAAGCAGACAGAAGTCAGCCACCTAGAGTTACTGTTACTTTTGAAACTATAATCTTGTTTAACACGTGGCATAAAAGAAGCTGTCAGAATTTGTGTTTACAGAACAGAATGTTAGTTAAAATACACCTGCAGGGTAGAATAGTCACGAAATAATTTGTATTTTCACAATAGCTTCTCACTACATAGTAATCCCTGAATTCTGATCCTTTGGAAAAACTCCCACCGATCTCTTTTATGAATGTTCTTCATGATCTTTTATATGTTACATTCGCCTAAAAAATTGACCCAACCCTACTGTTTCAAACAGAAAATATTTGGTGGGAACATAACATTCAACAATGTGGCATTTAACTACCCAACCCGACCAGAGGCCAAAGTGCTTCAAGGTTTGAACCTGAGCGTAGAAAAAGGACAAACTCTGGCTCTTGTTGGTAGCAGTGGCTGTGGAAAGAGCACTGTTGTTCAGCTGCTTGAGAGATTTTATGACCCACTCAGTGGAGAAATGGTAAGTGTTCCACATCAAAGCCTAAGTTGCAGATACATGATGCATGCTTACTCTATTTTATTATTATAATTTATTTGCTTTTTTCCACCTTGTAAATAATCTCATTACATGTTTGCTAGTGTAACTACTTACTTTTGTCAATGTTTCTAATATATTTTTTAATATATTTTTGAAAACTAAGGGCAGGAACACACTGATTTTCAATATTCTCTATGCAATCATGGGGAAAGTAGAATTTCTGAATTTCCCATGCCCTTTTAAGTTACTAGAACAAGATCCAAGTTGCTACATAGCCTGATCAGAGCCTTCTGGTATCACTGGGCTTTAGTTTTATTAGAGTAAGGATGAATTCTTGTAAAGATACAAACAGCCTATTATTTTTAGTTGACCATTGCACTGAGGAATCCAAGCCCTGGGTTAGAGCTCTCTGCAGTGCTAAGTGCTGTACAAACAGAACAAAAAGGTGATCTGGGCTCCAAGAGTCCAATGTCCCAGTGCACCTGCAGGTACAGGATGGTGATTTAGTCCACAGCTCGTTAATTCTGCTTTAGATAGAAGTCATGAGGATAAAGCAGAAATATGGACTGATGTTTTATTTTAGACTAAATAAGTGTCTGCATAATGGAGACAGTTAAACTTATACAGATGCTAACATCCAGATAAGGTACAGTGGGAGAAGAGGAGGAGTTCAAGTGCTGATGTGTAGAGTTTTACACATGTATCTCATCTTACATGAGCAAGTGACGGTAGATGAATTTTTCTCACTGATGTACAAGGACGATATTTAGTTACGGGATTAGAGACTACTGCCTGTTACTGTCCTCCACTACTGCCATTTGAGAGGCAAGGACATCTGACTCCCAGATCAGCATAATAGAGATGGGATAAAGCTGCTTATAATAAAAGAAGAGGCTGTGAAAACGCTTTGTGGTATAAATCTTCTACTGGTTTTGAAAATAGATCTTCCTGTCACCAGCATAGTACCAAATGTCTCTAGTATTGATAGCAAGACGGCAGAGAAAGTATGTCTGTATCGGCTCTCTTACCAAGTGGGGTGCAACACAGTGGCTTCATACTGCTGGAATTTCTCAAGGTTCATAAGAGATGTCTGATGTTATTGTACTGATTGCAAACATAAGGGCTTTAACACTCATCTCCCCATCTCTGCTGCCATGCATAAGTGCCTAAGTTAAAGGCTATAACGTCGCTCAATTTAAAAAAAAAAAAAAAAAAAAAAAAAAAAGACAAACAAAACCCAGCCATCTACAAAGTACTATGATTAAATTATATGATTTCTGACGTTTTTAGCTCCTGGATGGCCAAAACGCAAAGACACTAAACATCCAGTGGCTGAGAGCTCAGATTGGTATCGTTTCGCAAGAACCAATCCTGTTTGACTGCACTATTGCTGAAAACATTGCATATGGAGATAACAGTCGGGAGGTGTCATGTGAGGAGATTGTCAGCGCAGCAAAAGAAGCCAATATTCATTCCTTCATTGAATCACTACCAAAGGTAATTAGGCACTAATCTCCAACTTCCAACTGGGGAAAAAACCCCACAGTGCTTATTCATGCTTTCCTAAGTAAATATGGATTAAAAGCATTTATATTTCTGTGACTTACTGAATTAGATATTGAAATTTAGGGGTTTTTTCCCCCCTCAGAAAACACAAAGGACAAGTAGAGAGAGAGGATGTGACAGGCATTTGCTCAGTCCCCCTGCTGCAGGTGCCTGAATGGGAGGGGTCTTCAACTTTTCAGGAAAACTGTTAATAAAACAACCTGGGTGATACTGGTACTCAGGCAAGTCATTCTAGATGAAAAAGCACAGAGCAACAGATGTGCAGAAAGTACCAAAAAAGAGGCTGAGTACTTCCCCTCAGTTACGGGACAGCAACAGGAAAGTGCTAAGGCAGCCTGAGGAGCGCTGGTCTCACCCTTCTTTTTTCGGCATCTCGTTAGCCAAGTGTGTAAAGTCATACACGGAGTTGGCTTGGAAAACCAGGCAGAAACCCACCATCTTGCTCCTGCTTCCTCATTCTCTCCCTTGCCCTATCTATACTGATCGCTACGTCCTGGTTACGTCTGATGTGACAAGCAGAGTCTCGAGTATGGTGCATCTTTTTTCTGCAAAATAAGTAGCACCTTGGAGGGAAAAATAGTTTCAGGTTTTCTACATTGATTGTGAGTAATTATGCTAGGAAAAGAAAAAATCTCTGCAGTCAATCTGCTCATGTCCTGCTGGCAGGTGAATGCAAGCAAAGGCTCTTCCTACCCACTGCCTTATCGGCTGAAGCTAACACCTGACTGTCAGCTCGCTCTCAAGGAAAACATGGGCTAGGACAAATATTTCTCAGTTGATAAATTCCCACAGGCTTAGAAGGTTGGTGGGTTTTCCCCACAAAGCCCTATCCCTTAGATGAGAGATGGACATTTGTTCACATAGCGGGTAATAAACAGGTGAAGCACAGAGCTGGAATCAAATTTCTTGAGTAAATTTGTGTCAGGTTTAAAATAGGGCGCAGGGCAGATGAGATTTGGAATTCGACTGGCTTCTCATTCATCCTAAATCACTTCCAATGTCTCTCAGGCTGAGTTTTCTTCTCACAGAGAACCAGGGTGGTGAAAGAAGAGCTGACTGCTCAGGCTCCTTGGTCCTAAGCTCAGTCTTGCATTTGCTCCCAGCAGTGTCACAACCTTCCACTCACACCCTGCACTCAGCTTCTCTGTACCTTTGTCCTGTACCCCAAAACAAATGACACTGCTCTTGCTCAGCATCACAGGGTTCGATCTGCAGTTAAATACACTCAGAAACATGTTTCTCAGCTCAGCTGCTGTATTCAAGCTCCTCACCCACACTTGCCCTGGTGACTGGGAAAGGGGCTGCCCCAGATTTGTCACTTGGTGGAAATGCAGGTCAGATATCACGCTTCACAGGATTAGGTCCAAATCCAGGTTTACATTTGTGCTCACCTTTTGTATCTAGAAATACAGCACACGCGTGGGAGACAAAGGAACCCAGCTCTCCGGCGGTCAGAAGCAACGCATTGCTATTGCCCGAGCCCTTGTACGGCAGCCCCGAATCCTGCTGTTAGATGAAGCTACCTCTGCACTGGATACAGAAAGTGAAAAGGTATTGTGGCTTTGCAAACAGGATGGAGATTTGCAAGTTGGCTGGTCATGCCAACAGGAGGCTCTTTTTTTGGTAACAAAACAAACAAACAAGCAAACTTACCCACCCCCATCCCAAAAGCAATTCGGTATTACCAATCTGCAAAATCATTTTATTGCAACATTTGGCATCTTTGTGGCCACAGAGGCCAGAGCATCAGGTGATGTTAAAGAATTCGTAACCCTCAGAGTATTAAAACAAAAAAGAGGAGGGGGTTTAAAAGTGTGTGTATTAAGTACACCATACTTACTGCTTAGAAACTAGAATACAAAATTATGTAGCATGTTATTTGATTACACCATAATTCTATAACGGAATTATTTGGAGGATCAAGTTGTAACTATTTAATGAGCAGGACTGAAATTTGGAGCAGTTTTCCACGTTGCTGAAAGTGAGTGAGAAAGTATATGGCTTGTCAAAGGAGCCAGACCAATTTGTTGGGGACAGTTTCTAAAACTGACCAAGACCTGCCTGCAGGGGTAAGAAAGGGCCAGGCTGAGACCCTGGAGAAGTCTGCTTGACCTGACTTCTGGGGCAAGTAACAACATGAACACATGCACACCAGCAAGCGTTGTCTGTCCTGTCCCCCACCCCAGATGTACAAACAGGGATCTGAACCAGCCATTGGGGTAACGTGTTTTCACCTCCAAGGCCATAAAAACATCACCTCTGGCATTGATCTGTCACAGGTAACTTACCAGGTGACAGACCAGGGACACCACAGGCAGAAGCAATTAAACCTGTGTTTGGTTTTAATTCACCTTTTGGTTTGTTCATTGCACAGATTGTCCAGGAAGCGCTGGATGAAGCCAGAGAAGGTCGCACCTGTATCGTGATAGCTCACCGCCTCTCCACCATCCAAAATGCTGACAAGATTGCCGTGATCCAGAATGGCAAGGTCATAGAGCAAGGGACCCATCAGCAGCTCCTGGCTGAAAAAGGCACCTACTATTCTCTGGTCAATGTTCAAAGCGGGCCATGCAATGTGTGATAGTGGGCAGCACCTGTTGCTGAAGTGCAGCTGTACCACTGGTTCAGTCTTTTGTATGAGACTATTAAGAATGTTTCACTACTGGTTTTGGTAAAATTCTGTAAATAGTTTCCTTAAAACCTGTAATTAATAAATAACTGAGGTACATTTGCTTTAAGAACCTAACCTTCTTCTTCCACCGGCACAAACTTTCATAGTTGCTCCAATTCCAGATTGCACAGCAGTCACGAAAAAGCCCTGCCACCCTGTCAAACTGCACAGCAAAGGACACTGGGTGTGCAGGGACCCTTCTGCCCTCCAGGCGCTAAGATCAGCTCTGCAGCACCTAGCATGGCTGCTCACTGTGAAGGATGTGTGTACCCCAGGGAAAGGGACGGAGAACAGAGGTGCTGGAAACGGAACAGGTTTGTCTTTTGCTGGTAGGGAAACGCATGGTGTCCAGCCTAGGGACAACAGCAGGCTGCTATGTAGAGCGCTAGGGAAAAAGGGATGAGCACTTGCTCATCTGTTTGGATTTCAGGGGTTGTGTTTTTACAGGTTGATTGTGTCCAGTTCTGGGCCCCCCAGTTCAAGAGCGACAGGGAACTGCTAGGGAGAGTCCAGCGGAGGGCTACAAAGACAATGAGGGGACTGGAGCAACTCTCTAACAAAGAAAGGCTGAGAGACCTGGGGCGCTTTAGCCTGGTGAAGAGAAGACTGAGAGGGGACCTTATCAACTCTTATAAATATCTAAAGGGTGGGTGTCAAGAGGATGAGGCCAGGCTCTTTTCAGTGGTGCCCAGTGACAGGACAAGGGGCAACGGGCACTAACTGGAGCACAGGAAATTCCATCTGAACATGAAGAAAAACTTCTTTACATTAAAGGTGTCAGAGCACTGGAACAGGCTGCCCAGGGAGGTTGTGGAGTCTCCTTCCCTGGAGATATTCAAAACCTGCCTGGACATGATCTTGCGCAACCTGCTGTAGGTGAATCTGCTCTAGCAGGGGGGGTTGGACTAGATGATCTCCAGAGGTCCCTTCCAGCCCCTATGGTTCTGTGATTCTGTAACTACATGTTCTAACGTTGCATTCTCTCTAAACTCCAGTGAGTGATGAGGATTATGGCAGCAAGATGCACACCAGCAAGAGCCCAAAAAAGTTGTCAGAAGAGCAGTCTCTGAAGAGAATGAGCATAGCTATTGCTCACACATGAAGATGCCGGCACTCACAGGCAGAAGGAAGGCAGCGATGTCTTCCTCACGCCCGATGGGCCCAAAGCGCCATTCCAGGCATGACTGTTTCTAAACACGTGTACAACCCAGAGCAGGGGGAAAAAAGGAGCCTGTTGAGATTGGCAACTGACTCAGTCCCACCAATGCAGAAACCTAGCTCCTAGCCTCAGCTTGCCGATGCACTAATGGGTGCAGCCACTTCCTGTAACCTTCTGCTTTAGTGTCTTCAAAGCAACTGCTGCCTGTCCTATGACAATGGCACTGCACAGCTAAACCACCCTGAGCTGAAATCAGAGCCCCTACTGCATTATGCTCCTCCTGCATTGATCACACGTTTTCCCAAATCCACACAGGCAGAGAAAACAAACAAACAAACAAACAAAAAAACCCCACAACCGTTTAACATTTTGTGCTTTAGTCCCACATGGTCCATAGAGCATAAAGTTAGTAGAGCAGCTTTACGTCAAAAACGCTTTACTCCTTACAACAGGGAAATTAACACCACGCTCATGATTCATGCATCCACAGCACATAACAAGTAGCTCTAACACCTCACATTTAATTTTGTTCTCTCTGGATACGCTTCTGTCTTCAGCTCCGCTAGGCAAGGCACGGACTGTCCCAGATGAACAGGAAACTCTGCTTATGCTGGTGATTGAATGACATTTTCTCAGTTACACACTTGAATTAATTTTCCTTTTTCCATATTTCTGCCAGGATTTCTATGCTCCCAGAAATCCCCAGAGGCGCAGGGGTAGGTGTGTGGAAAATAAATGCAAAATTACACCCTTCATCAGATTTCAGGCTGTTTCAAGTGAGTGTTCAAAGCAAACTGTCCTTGTCACTGTTGCAACCAAGTTTACTAACCCAAATGAGGGGTGAAAGGTTCTAACTGTCAGACAGAACTTATTAAAAAAAAAAAAAAAGAAGACGACGACTAAAAATCATGAGGCAAAGCTTGATCCAAAAATCTTAATCTATCCCACAGAAATCACATCATCATAAAGGCATGTACTTCACTAACCAAGAGATCTCAGAAAGTCATTTTCCTCCAAGAAAGAGAGTGGGTCATTATAAGCACTCCAGAGCAGGAACAGATTCTTACTCTGTATGAATTTTGGAAGACCTCAAATCAACAATTAAACAATGAACAGCTGTCAGATTTAATTGAGACAGGATGTACAAACAGTCCAATAAAGGCAGGGAAGACAAAAGGCTGCAACAATTGAACTGTTTTCTGAGGCCACAAGACACAGTGTAACACACTCTGGCCTGTTACTGAGAGAAGTGTCAGGCTTCGCGGAACAAAATAGAAAGGGAAACTCTGTTCTTGTTACTGTGGGAAAAAAACATGCAACAGAGCTTCCACAGAGCAGAGACTGGTTCAGGTTTGTTGAGGATGCAGTTGTTTCTGTAAAACAAGTAATAATCTCTGATGTCTCTCGAAACTCCAAAAACTAGAGAAAATATAAACAAAGGGTACTTTAGAATCTCAAGTTCATCTGCCCCCAAGATCACCTCTTTTGCCAAGTTTAGTTGCCTAACATTAAACAGTCCACCCATAAATGAATCAATACAAAGCTGATTTTTAGAAGAATTTTATTTCTAAAACAGGAAAATACAAAGCTGCTCGAACAGAAGAATCGTCTTAAAATCCTGAGAATCGTATCAACCTGCATTCAGTGCTTACTTTTCTTGTGTATTATTAGTGTAAAGCAGCAGGCAGTCACAGTTCACTAGAAGATGAAAACTCTGAGTAATCTCGAAGCCCTACGCTGCTTCCTGTCTTGACCATTGACAGCTCCTTTTTCCAAAATCCTTCAGACTGTAGTGCTCTCATACTACAAACGTAGTGGGAACGTCCCCATTCACGGACACAACATTTATTTGGTATAATCCTGATAGCAAAAATAAAAGGTAACTTATAAAATCACATACAGCCAGATGGAGACAGCCCTTTTATTTCAGGAACCACTATGAATAGGAAGCATAATCACCCAAGAGGACAGTGCGGTTACTCTTAAGTACACAGTTAAGTGCTCCACTGGCATAAACAGTATCAGTAGTCTACAAAGTATTCTATGTGTTACTACTGAGATCATAAATACAAATCTCCCATAAATTCTGCACTTCTAACATCCCATCTCTCCAGTCTGTTTGCATTGTTGTGGCATATTTTAATATTGCATAGTTCTACACAGATAAGGTACTACTGCTTGCATTGTTGTTGCAAATGGCTACATCACTCTTAAATGGGTACCGTTACCACAGCAAATCCCATAAAAATAGGTAGACTTCATATAGATTATTAAATGTCTTAACTTGAATATAACAGTACTCTTGAGTAGCATTTCAATTATAAGTACTACATGGAACTCGTGAGCTTGCAAAGGCTTTTACATCATCAGCAACCTTACAGCTGAGCTGCAACTGTTAATTGCAGCATATCCTGAAAACACTGGAACACAGTTCTACACAGCACTTCTGCATCAGTCTCTGGACATGATTTCCAGCAAGAACACGTAGTAACAATCCTATCAATAGAGAAAACAATGAAGTTACCACTCTTAATTGTCATGGTCTAGGACAGAAGTCACACAAATCACCCTGAAATGTGAAAGCATTGACATAAACTCTAAAGCAAAAATTGTCACATAAACATACTGGCTCAACAGTCAAGGAGGACGCAAATCCCCAGTGCCTTCCGTAAGCGGTGATGTCGACAGATCTTGAAATTAGATACTTTGGTTTCAATACCCATTTCTACACACACAGTGACATAACTTTTCTGCTTATATTTGCAAATACTGTGAATTATATTTCTTCTCTGCGACTAGTTTAAGGTTCAAAGTACTTTTTCTCTATTTATTTAATAAAAGGTAAATCTTTATCTAGTTCTGTTTATCTTATACTTTGATCTATGGGTTTGTTAAGTGGTTTGTATTCTCCAACTGAATCAAATCTGCACACAACCCACATTTAGCTTTATGAAGACATCACCCGAATTACACCTAAATCACAAAAGTTATCTCAACATATTATAATCGCAGTAGTTTATTAGATTTGATAAGGAAGCCATAATTTTTGTCCAAAAGACCAATAAGCCAAAGTTGGATTTTTTCAAATCTTACCATTTTATGAGAAGTGAAGCCAAATGTTTTAGCTTCTCCTTTTGACTCAAACCAGACCTCTCTGAGAAACGAGAATGATGGACAGTGTGCTCACTTGGACTCTACCTGGTCTACCTCAGTTTAAAAACCACCTTTGCATGTTACATTTAATGATCTCCAAAACACAAGCTTACTTTAAAGTTAACTTCTTTTGTTCCTCCCTTCTCCCACCTTCCCCACACTTTTCTTTCTGCTTATTGTCAGTACCTTGGTGCTCACTTCACCTCCATCGTTTGTCCTTCCTCCCACATCTGCCTTCCCAGAACGTTAATGACCCTATTCTCACGTACCTCACTTCTCAACCTCTTCCAACACATTCAGCCGGGTTTCTTCTGTCCTTTCCTTTCCTCGTTCCAGTTGTTAGCTGCCTTTCCCTTTGTGATAGACACAGAACCATGCCCAAAATGAAATTATATCCTTACCTGTCATCTCTGATTGCATAAAAAAAGCCATAGCCATGATGTACCATAGGGAGTGCAGATCCACTAAACCTAGTGTAGCCAGTCAGACTAGTGGAAAGGACAAAATTCCCACCTCCTCCACTGTAAAACAACACAAAAGAAAAGACAATTTAAGACAAGGTGAGTCTTACAAAAAAAAGTTATTCTGTCCTAGAGAT